ACGGCCTCCAGCTGTGCCAGGGGAGGGTCAAGTTGGACATCAGGAGGAATTTCTTCATGGAAAGGGTGGTCAGCATTGGCAGGGGCTGCCCAGGGAGGTGGTGGAGTCCCCATCCCTGGAGGTGTCCAAGGCAGGACTGGCCGTGGGACTCAGTGCTCTGGGCTGGGGGACAAGGTGGGGATGGTCACGGGTTGGACTCCATGGTCTGGGAGGGCTTTTCCAACCTCAGTGATTCTGTGACTCTGTGATACTTCCATAACTGTAGATTTTAGGGAGTTTTAGACCAAATACTGTTGTTAGATTTGCAACCTAAATGAGACCTACTTTGTGTTGCAGAGTATATTAAAATGGCAGATCACTACGTGCCCGTTCCAGGGGGACCCAACAACAACAACTATGCAAACGTGGAACTCATCCTTGACATTGCCAAGAGGATTCCAGTGCAGGTGAGAAGTGTCACAGATACTTTCCAGAACAGGAGGCAACACCGAGCAATCTCCTCTCCTTCAGTAACAAGTTGTATCTGGTGAACAAGGCAGGACAAAGAAATTGAAATTACAAACCTATATCAGCACCCAAAGGCAGTGCATGTTGCAGTGCAGTGATCTCCCAGTAGGAATATCTGCAGGAGATGGGAGGTTCCCTTCACCCTTTCCCTTTCCTGCACCCAGTTCCTCCTCAGCAGGTTGCTGCTGCAGCCTGCTTGGACTTGCCTACAAGATACAAGACAGCCTTTAAACTAAACACACCGTGTAGTTCAGGAGCTGGTCTGGCTTTTGAATGTTCTCAGGGTGTTTTCAGTGAGGAAAAAAAACGACCTGAAGTGCTTCTGTTTCTGCTCACTTGCTTGTTTTTCTCCAACAAAGAGTGAATTATGCTGTTTTCTCCTGCAGGCTGTGTGGGCTGGCTGGGGCCATGCATCCGAGAACCCTAAACTGCCAGAACTCCTGCACAAAAACGGGATTGCTTTCATGGGTGAGGAGATACACTGCTGGTGTGATGTCTGGTCCTTACTTTAAGATGGGCAGATTTAGTGAATTAGAAAATCCTGAGTGTAAAAGAGAGCCCTGAGGAATGGTTGGCAAGGGCAAGACGGATGATCTGTTCTTTACAGGGGTCCTTGTATGGAAGAAGGGGCAAGTTCTCCAGCATATCTTTGAATATTGAGATAAGAAATCAGAAAAGATTTCCTGAATGTCCCTGTTCTCATTTTAAAGAGGGTTCAGTTTTATGGGAAGAGTGGAGTTTTACCTGAATTAGACTTCTGGACATTTCCCTCATGTTTGATTTTGCTCATGTCTCTCTCATGCATTGTCTTTGCTCTTTGCAGGTCCTCCAAGCCAAGCCATGTGGGCCTTAGGAGATAAAATTGCTTCTTCCATCGTGGCTCAGACTGCCGGCATTCCGACCCTTCCTTGGAGTGGCAGTGGTAAGAAGGAATTTGCCCTGTGCTTATCAAGATCATCCTAATTTTTTTTTCCCCTTCAACATGTCTAATTTTTAAGGAGCTCTGTGCTCAGAAATGTGTTCCTAGGGATGTTCTATCTGTTCAGGGTTTCAAATTAGTGGTATTTGGTGGTATTTGCCCACCACACTTGGAAGCAGTTACATCAGTGAGCATGGAGGGTGGTAGGAGGAATTGGCAGTGTGCAGGGGAGGCCAGGTAGGAGGGATTTGGAGAGGTGAGGAAATACAGAAAAGGTTGTTTCTTAGAGTACAGCTTATGCTCATGGGCTCACCTGATACACCCAGGGCTTAGAGCAACCTGGTCTAGTGGAAGGTGTCCCTGCTCATGGCAGGGAGTTGGAAAGAGATGATCTTAAAGTCCCTTCCAACCCAAACCATTCCATGATTGTGTGCAGTTTTGGAGCCCACAGCCCAAAACTTCCGTGGAAGCTCTCTGGCGTTTCAAAACACTGTAAATAACAACCTGCCTCTCACAGGTAGATGGAGGGGGATGTAATGTGTTGGATGAAAAGATCTGCTCCCCAGAAACGAGGAATGTCTGTTTACCTTCCACATTCTCCCTTCTTTGGGTGCTTCCAGCCTGGTTCCTCGTGGAGCTGTCGCTGCTGTTCGTGTCCCCCGTGTCCCACACGTGGGTTCTCTCTGAGCCCTGCAGCACGGGGAGCCAGGAGGGTGGTGTTTGTCTTTCAGGTCTCCGAGTGGACTGGCAGGAAAACGACCTCCAGAAGCGTATCCTGAACGTTCCCCAGGAGCTCTACGAGAAGGGCTACGTGAAGGACGCAGACGACGGGCTGCGGGTGGGTGTTCTGGGGGTGTTCTGGAGGTGTTTGAGGGGCTGTGCCTGCACACCTGGGGAGACCCAGAGGTTGGATTTGCTTCTGTTGGGAGTGCAAACTGTGGGACTAGGCTGCAGCCTCAGAGCTGGGGCTTGGAAGCTGGGAAGTGATCTTTGACACATCTTTGGGCCCAGCCTGCAGAATTAGGTGAGAATTAGCAGAAAGAGGCAAAATCTGGGACCAAGGCTGTGTTTCATTAAAGGCTCTCTTCTAGCTCTTGTTTAATGCAGGAAGAAGGTGTTTTTAATAAAGATCCATGACCTCACACTTGATTTCATCCTTCCTTGAGGAAGATTTCTAGAATAAGGAATATTCCTGGCACAATACAGGATGTGGAGTTTTCTTTTGGGAAGAGAGGGGGTGGAGTATATGATTTTTTTCTGTTTTACCTAGCTTACTGATTTTCTGTATTGTACAAAATCCAGTCAGTTTGTAAATTTAGTGGCACTGAAGCACTGACAAAAGATTTTGTGATCACTTTGAGAGGCCAGAGTTCTCTGTAGTCACAAAATCCCTGCTGATTTTTCCAACTATAGACACCCTCTCAAACTGGGATATTTGGGTTCTATCCCATTGGTTGCTAAATAGAGTCAGATGTGGAAGCTTGGATGCGAATCAACAGGGAAATAATGATCTTTTCAACTTGATTCTGCTGCCTTTTTATACTTACCCCTCTTTTTCTGCCCATCTTGGCCAGGCTGCTGAGGAGGTTGGCTACCCTGTGATGATCAAGGCTTCTGAAGGAGGAGGAGGAAAAGGAATCAGGAAAGTTAACAATGCAGATGACTTCCCCAGTCTGTTCAGACAGGTAACTTTTCCCCTTGGTTTGTGCTGCCTTGTTCTAAATGTTCAGGTTGGGTGATTCTGAGGCCACTGTAGCAAATGACTGAGCTTTGGGTGGCCCAGGGGAAACAAGTGGATGTTCCTCGCTCCGGAAACACCCTTGGGCTGGTTGTGACCCAGACGGGTGTTTACCAGAGGTGCTCTGCCTGTTCCTTGTGTCTCTGCTGTAGGTCCAGACTGAAGTGCCGGGCTCTCCCATCTTTGTGATGAGACTGGCCAAGCAGTCCAGGCACCTGGAGGTGCAGATCCTGGCAGACCAGTACGGCAATGCCATCTCCCTCTTCGGCCGGGACTGCTCCGTGCAGCGCAGGCACCAGAAGATCATCGAGGAGGCTCCTGCCTCTATTGCAACTTCCACAGTGTTTGAGCACATGGAGCAGGTGAGGGTGGCTCTGCAGGTTCCCTTCTCCTGGTTGGGCTCCAGAAACAGGCAGGACTTCTTGCTTTTATTTTACGTCACTAGACTTGTGCACTGTTGAATCTTTTTTAAAAGAGTGACGTGGAGTTGTGTGCCTTAAACTGCTTGGTGTGGGCAGCCACTCACCTTTCCACGCTGACAGAGTCCCATGTCCTCACAGACAGCAGTAGAGCTCCCTTCAAAGATGTTTACACCCCCAAAATGGGAGAGAAGTGTGGGTTAAATGTGTGTTATCACA